TATTATTTGTTCCTATTAGTATTCCTATACAATAAAATTATGAAATTTGTCACTATTCCACCATTCCATCTAATTTACTTTGATATCCCTATAATACCCTTGATGTGGTAATTGAAAAAAAAAATCAGCTAATCGACCCCATTACGTCTCCTACGCTCCAAGCCCTTCTCTTCTGATTTGTTATGCTTCAATCGCCGCCACCTAGTCTTCAATCGTCGCCACCAATCCATGCTGCTGGTTTATTGCCCTTTATGACCTCTTTACTTTGTGCAGAAAAATGAAAGGAAGATGGAATATTATCTATTTTCATGTGTGTGCACAAAACAAAGAAAACATTTACCACAAAATTGAGTCTTCAATGATATCTCTCTTCTTACTTTTCAAACTTACATAAAACTTACATTACACAAGAACTTACATAATAAATATACAATAACTTTTCTGGACATTACCACCTACTCCGTTATAACATACACAAAAGGAAATTTACTTGGCTGACAACCTTTATAATAACAAAAGAAAAAGCTAGAGTAGATAAACAGGACAACCTCACATGATTGTACCTTCTACTTATTCCTTTTTATATTAAAAACCTTATGGATTATTCTACTCTTTTCCCCCTTAATCCATAATTTTTATTTGCTTCGCTCCTGACAAATTACGCATATCTTCAAACTTCTTGTTTGCCAAGGATTTTGTGAGAATATCTGCCTTCTGTTCCTTGCTTCCATGCTGCTCACATACGTAACTTTTATATCTCCATTCTAGACACATTCACATATAAAATGAAACCTTGTATCTATGTGTTTTCTTCCCCCATGAACTACTGGCTTTTTTATCATGTCTATGGTTGATTTATTGTCAACATGCAACACCACTGGACTAACTTTCTTTTATGTTAACTCACTAAGAAACCGACGCACCCATATCCCTTGGCACGTTGCACTTGTCAGCACCATGAATTATGCTTCGCATGAGGATAGAGCTACACTTCATTGTTTTTGCGACCTAGTTTTGATATTTTGCTTTTCTTATGTTTTCCTTCTGTGATAATTTTGTTTCTCTTAATATTTCCATCAGATCGTAGATGATATTTAAAAAGAATGGATGGCTAAATTATGGATATTATAAAAGAATTATGGTGCTTTTTCTTCTTCAAAAATAAACTTCACATAATAGCTTGAAAAACCTTGAAGAGACAACCTATGCATTTTGGAACGATCCTATTTTCTTTAAGGCTGGTCTTGGAACAGTCAGGTCATTTTAGAATTGTTCTCAGAACGGTCAAATTTTTTTCAAACCCAAGACATACCGGTGACGAGATTCTTTTAGTCCGGTATTTTTCGATCTTGTTTTTTGGGACCGGTCTTTTTTCACTCTAGTCTTGCCGTCTTTGCATGTGTCTTTTCAGTTCAGTTTAGAGGTTTTTTGTCTAGATTTGATGTTTGTAACGTCCCAAAAATTATAAGGTAAAAATTTCATTTTTAATTCAACCAAAACACCAATTATCTTTTATTCAAACATCCAAAAGTATTTCTTAATAAAGTAGTCATCAGAGTACGATCCCAAAATCATCACATTGCAGAAATATGAGTGGATGCACTGCGATCACGTCGAACCCTTCCCTTTCGAATGGGAAATACCTAAAACGATAAACATAAAAAAAACGTAAGCACAAACATTAGTGAGTTCCCGAAAATACCACATACTATATATATATATATATATATATATATATATATATATATATACACACACACACACACAAATGTAACAGCACGTGGCTGTGTCGGGTCCGTATCAATCCCGAGTCCATAATGACTCTATATAACAGCTTGTAGCTATGTCGAGTCCCTATCAACCCTGAGTCCGTAATGACTTCGACCCCATATAGGTCAATACATAAATCATACAAACATATAAGCATGAGTTACAAAGACAACAAGCACATGGCATATCAGCAAGTGTCACAAAGACAACAATCATCCTACAAACATAATCCAGTGGGCCAGCATTGCTGCCTTCGACCCACGAGTACAGTGAAGAGACTCACCTCAATCCCCTGGTAATTAAATAACTGCTCGGGTCGCTGAACCGTATAAGCTAACACCAACTAACAATAAATACAACCATAATTAAAAATTAACCCAATAACCCAAAATCTAAGGCCTGATCCATAATCCAACTCCCTAAGGGTAAAAGACCATTTTACCCTTCTTATAACTGGTCCAACCTTAAATGGCCCAACCCCCAAAAGGCCCAAGGCCCAAAAGTTCAAAAACGGATTCCAGGGGAGTACGTCCAGCGTAATCAAAATGTACGCCCCGCGTACAGACTGCCGAAGCACAATATACAAGACGTTGATGCGCAAACCACGAATCACACTGAGTGTACTCCTATGTACGCCCAGCGTACCCAGCAGAGAGCCAAAAATCCCACAAAAGCTTTTAATGGTTAAGACAAGGACTTCCAAACTCATATATGGCCCTAATGAGATGTCTTAACACGTAGCGTTAACAACTTTACACATTTGCATGGCTTAATGGGACCAAATCCTCAATAAAATCCATAATAAACACCCAAACTTATGCATGGCATAAAATAACTCATCAAGATGACATTTTTATAAACAAGGGACCTCACATGTAACGGTCCGATTTTTTTAAGGCCGGTCTTGGAACAGTCCGATCATTTTAAAACCGGTATCAGAACGGTCAAGGTTTTTTTTCAGATCGGTCCTGAGACATACTGGAGTCGAGATTTTTTTTATTCTGGTCTTTTACGGTCTTGTCTTTTGGGACCGGTCTAGTCTCGCGGTCTTTGCATGCATCTTTTCACTTCGTTTTAGAGGTTTTTCGTTCAGTTTCGAAATTTTTAGGTTTTTTGGTTTTGCTTTCGAGTTGTAAAATAAATTGTGATTAACACCAAAATGATACATTAAGATTTAATAGAAATGATACACTAAAACTTAATAAAAGATTAAAGGGAAGTTTAGGCTCCATTCAATCTATGATATATATCTATATATATATATATATATATATATATATATATATATATATATATATATATATATATTAAACTTGTGGAAATTTTCTAAAATTTTTCGAGATTGATTATACTTGCAAATTCGCGTGTTTTTTTATTTATTTTTTGTTATATATATATATATATATATATATATATATATATATATATATATTATATATATATATATATATATACATACATTTGTTAAAAAAGTTCTTTACGTCTAGAATAAAGTAATCTTGCGATTGCATGGAACATTTTTTTTCGTGATTTACAAGATTTTTTAATGATAGAAGATGAAAAGGTACTGTCCATATAGTAGAAATTATGTATATATTTTGAATGCTAATAAAAAAGGCTTATCTTATACACAACATGTAGTTTCTTTGATACTCCATACTGTATCATGAAAAAAAAATGGTAAAACGTACCATTTATTCGGCCCATGTCACATTGGGCTTAAATCAAAAGGCAGTTGTAATATTTCATACGGGTCAAGGTTTGAAATGCTTGCACCATGGATCTCATGTGTGGATTACCACATTTCAACCACAAGGATTCTATTATGTGGACTAAAATGCATCATTTTAAAAAGTTGTTTCTTTTTTTTTCTGTTAACCACTAGGATTCGACAAGAAGCCTTACCTATTTTTTCCTGTTAAAATATCGATTCATTTGAAAGCTATAAAACAATAAGACACACCACATATAAGAAGTTTTATGATTCATAAAGTATCAAGGAAATGAAAATCACGAAAAGGTCAAAATTGGTCAAAGTAAAGATATGTAGTAGAAGACAAGAGAAAACTCCATTGAAGTACCAATATTTAAGATGTTTGATACCAATAAAACAACAATCCTTAACAGCATTTTCAAACCATGAAACACACAGTCATTGAGATAATCTAACAGACTCAAAAAAGTTGGTTTTATAGCACCAGTTTGAATAAAACTCTAGAAATTTGACAGACAGCGATGTGCTCATCAAGCTTTTATTCAAGGTCATTCCCATGAACCATCGTAACCAAACTGTTTACCTGATACACAAAGTAAGAAATTATTGTGAGAGAAAACGCCATTTACAATATAAAGAGAAAAAGCAAAATAAGAAGTCAATTCCTAAACATTATCAAAGTAAAATCAAGCTAGGCCAAAACAATTTTGTATTAACTCAACTACATGACCACAAGGTGCGTGTGTGTTATGCATGACAAGACATAACTGAGCAAATTTTAATTTATTTTCCACCGAAAAAGGCGGGACATGGACATCAATGCCCTTCTAATCTTCATCCTCATCATGAAAATAATCCTAGAAAAGCTACAACTCAAATAGCACAATTGGTCCCCATAAGGTGAAGACAATTGTGTATTAAACTGAAAATCTCAATCTCTGTTAGACTTTAAAACCATTATCTAAAGGGATAGATATTTATGTATATTACCGGCAATCATGCAAAGCTTGCTTTACTCGTTTCAGCGCGCTTCTGAATGATCTATAAAAAAAGATTAAAACCAAAACATTAGGGTTTTGATGAATCAAATTAGGCAGATAGCAAATCAACAACAGGGTATCAAGCTTAACAACATGATCATCATTGTTGTGTGACCATACTCTTTGACTTCGTAAAATACTAAACTCATATGTACCACAATTAAATCAGCAATGAACATGGAAACCATAAAAGGCTAGACTCTTTAACTTCCCCAAAGATTAAACTCCAGTGGTCAAATTAAGTAGAATTGAACATGGATTTTGATTTTTCATGTCATGTAAATGAGCCCCTAAGCCCTTATCCACCTTTTCTGTTAATGTTTGTGCATCAAATTAAAGTTGATGTTACAACTAATACATGGACTTTACCAGGCTTTCGAGAGGGTTTTCTCTAATAAATGTATAAAAGCTTACAGAGAAGGATTCAAATGAAAACAATGAATAATGGTTTATAAGAATAGTGAGAATCAAGTGCTTTACCTTTCAAGATTTCCCACCTCACTTGAACTAGCTGAGTCAAGACAAACTTTTGGTACCTAGTCATATGTACACAGATAAAAAAATATCAGAGGCACAATCACGATATGAAATTAGTATGGCACATGTACAAATGAAATCTTCTCTTCTAATATTGATGATCATGAGTATAATAAAGATGATATGCAATTTCACATATAAGCATAGTATCCCAGTATAACTACCGCAATTGGACAGATAGATGGAAACCAAAAAACAAGATAATAAGAACCCACCTTGCGACTCTTGATGATCCTTGTTTCCTGCTTCTTTTCGTTTGGTTTCTTGAATATATGGGGAGATACAAGACTTGGTGTATACAAAGGGGCCCCTATAAACTTTGGAGTATGGACAACACGTTGTTTAAGACATAAAGGCCTCTTATTTGGTATGTAGTGCATTATATCTTTCAAGCAGTGCACAATTTCTGTCTTAATGTTGTCTTTAGGCTCCACAATCTCCCAAGACTGTCTCACATTGTACTCATTCATCATCCATACTTCTTCGAGAACATCAAATACGCACAAACAACCGCTTATGCTCCCCAAATGCTCTGCCCATTTGCAAGGTTGTGGGATCTCCTCAAATTTATCCTCGGACAAATCAAAAGAAAGAATTACCGGCATCTGATAAGCTGAACCATGACAAACAACCCAATGAAGTGCGCCACTGTAAAGGAAACCAACCCTACTGACAAAAGTGTAGTTCACTTCTCCAATAACTTCCCAGACGTTGGATTTTAAAGTAAACTTTAGAAAACAGGTATGACTACTACCATTTCTAAACCCTAATACCACCTTGTAGTCATCTTTGGACGAATCATAACCAAAACCATAAATCATATATCCCTCCTGAGGGATTTGGGGCTCTTCCAGTTTATTCACTTCTCGGGTTTCAGGATTGATAAGTAAAAATTCGGTACGAGAGGGAGAAACGCATACCAAACCATTTGAAGAACCGAGTAGATGACGCGTGCGACAGACAGATAAGATTTTATCAGGGTCATATATCCAATCACCACAGCGCGAAGCAGACATAGCAATTCTCCTGCTTCCCATTTTGTTATTTTCACTATCCTGGAGATAACGGTGTTCGAGATGGGCTTTGATGAAATTAGATTCAGAGATCCAAGATTTCCATAACTTTGAAACGCTCCTGCAACGGATCAGATCCCTCACCTCTAACCTTATGAGTATTAGTTGAATCATTTCATTGGGCAACTGTGCCATTGAAACCCTAGAACTGAATGCCCGAGTTTGGAAAAGAGGGAGTGGGTTGCGTCTGAGAATGCAGGCTTCTATTTATACCACATTTATTACTAGGCACTCGTAAAAGGATAAATTATGTTTCGCAAAATTTTACCGGATATAGGGAAATTACCTTTAGTGATGTGCCTTGTTGAAACTTGCCACATATGCTTATGGCTTTAATAAATTTGTAGATACTAATATACATACAAACTATGATCATAAGCAGGTGATGATAAAGTTAGCTACATTGAAGAAGCGGTGGTGCCATTGTTAGTGAACTCTGAAATTACAATGTGAAACTAGCAAGGAGAAGTTTCATGAAGAGATGTGACATTTGAATTATGAAATGTCCCAGTAGTTCTGGAGTTTAACAGTAAACCTTAAAACAAATGACTGTCTAATTATATATTATTCTTTAAATAGCAACGATCACTTGATTGCATCCACTACCGGACACCTTTTTTTATGTCAAGTTCAAGATTAACAAGTCACAATATTGGAAGGAAATTTGTTGCACAAAATCTTGATAAGACAGTAACTTAAACTATCTGTTCTTTGTTAGCACAGTTTTCAAGCAACTGTACATCTAGCTAGTTTGTCAAAGTTTCTTCCAGGATGAAGTAGAAACTCAATTACCTTATAAACCGTGAAGAATAAAGCAGGACAATTCAAAAGCAACACTAACAGCCATCCACCTACTTCTTCTTCCTCTACAATGTATTATAAACTTAATTACATTAAACTTTATAAAACTTTAACTACTATTTAACAATCAAACTTAATTAATAGAACACAAAAAAATCAAACTTCAAACACAACACAACCCTGTTGAATCAACTCTATGTTCTAAACAAACGTAATCCCTATTTCCACATTACTCATTCAATAATCCAGCACTTATACGAAAATCAGTAACTATTTACCTGCTCATAAACAAATCTAGAATCATTTATACATTGCGAATTACTATTAAAAAAATTATTAAAAAAAAAAAAGAAAAAAACTTGAAATCGTAACAGATAAGTATCCAACGACAGTTTGTGAGGATGGAAAGTAGTCTTGCCGGCGACAGAAGATGAAGACTGTGACTGCGTGTTCCGATCGTTTGGAAATTGAGCTATTCGCTAGACATCCGAATCCTATGAGCTATAAACCCTGCGAAAAGGGTTTTTCAGGAAAAAAATAAATTGGACCACAGGAACCTTGAACACTTGTTTAGATGAAATAATTTTTAGATTACAGAAATGGTCCTTCGATTCAGTAAAATTCGCAGTTTAGAGTCCAACTTTCAAAAGGTTGGTCCTCAGTTTCATTTTTTTTTGTTGCATTCTTCAGTCACATTATAAAATGATTATATTACCTTTCTTAATATCATTTTTATTTTCTTTTTTTTCTCATTTGCAATTTTAATAAGATAAAATTATAAAGAGAAGTTAAATTGTCTGATTATTTGTTCCTATTATTATTCCTACATAATAAAATTATGAAATTTGTGTTGATATTTTTAATAACTTAATCTATATATGTATGCGGAAGCTTTTTAAGGCCAGACCTTCAAACTCGAATCTGAATAAAAGAATAATAAGAGAAGGAGATTGTGTACCTGCTTCCATTGAAGCTTTTGGATCTGAAGAACAAGCTTGGTTTTCCAGTTGATTTCAAGACAACTCCAAGACCCCTCAGCAATCCAAAAAAAACGAATTTTGTGAAGTAATTTCGTCCTCTCTGATTTGCTGCTCATCACATATATTTATAGATGGAGATAAACCCTAATGTGAGAGATGGAAGGGATCTTGAGGATCTTGAGTCAAACCGGGAACTCAAGCCACAAATGGTAAGTGAATATCGGTCCATCAACAATCTTATACACTTGCCATAATATTTTGGATTTAAATGATAACAATATATATGTTCATTTATAGAATGGTCCATGATTTTCTAACAATCTCCCACTGGACCATGAATTTATAAATGTACATATAACCATATTAGCGCTTTAATGTATGTTATCATGATATTGGTACCCTTAAACAATCTTGTCCATTAATCATAATTGTATAGGATCAATGCGGTCTTTGTTACAATTTACGTAACTAAACCATCAATGGTCACATATATAAGTATAACTAACGACATAGATTAAACATGATGCGTGGTCACAAAATCAAAATTGATTTCCGACGAGTTCCTCTTTAACTTGAAGTGAGATCAAACTTCAAATAAGTGCAACTAATAATGGAATTAACCGAATTCTTAAGTTTGTACAGAAAAACATAATTGTTCTTAAACCAAAATAAAGCACCCAAAAATAAATTGTAAAACTCCCACTAAAACAAAATATCATCAATATTTATCACATCCATGTGTGTAGTATGCTCATGAAAGACCTTGGGAGGTAATCCCTTCGTGAGCGGATCCGCTATCATGGAGTTTGTCCCGATGTGCTCTATTGCGATTTTTCCATTTTGCACTCTTTCTTTAACAATCAGAAACTTAATGTCAATGTGCCTTGACTTTGTAGAACTTCTGTTGTTGTTGGAATACAACACTGCCGACTTATTGTCACAATACAACTTTAGTGGTCTTTCAACACCAATAATACGCAGCCCCGTAACTAAGTTCCGCAACCATATTGCATGATCTGATGCCTCGAAACATGCTACAAATTCTGCCGCCATGGTGGAAGAAGTTACTAAAGTTTGTTTAGCACTCTTCCATGAAATAGCTCCTCCTGCTAATAGGTAAATGTAGCCTGATGTGGATCGATAACTGTCTTGGCATCCAACAAAATCAGAATCAGAATACCCAATGATCTCCAAAACATCTGATTTCCTATATGTGAGCATGTAGTCTTTTGTTCTCTGTAGATATCTCAAAACCCGTTTGGTTGCTTTCCAATGGTCCATACCTGGGTTGCTTAGATATCTTCCCAACATCCCTACAATGAAAGATATGTTGGGACGTGTACACACTTGAGCATACATAAGACTCCCGACAACCGATGCATAAGGAATCTTCTGCATCTCTTTAAATTCAAGGTCATTTTTAGGGCATTGATCGAGACTGAATTTGTCTCCTTTCGAAATAGGGGTGTCTCCTGGTTTGCATTTTTGCATGCCAAATCTTTCAAGGATCTTTTCAATATAGCTCTTTTGTGATAATCCTAGAATTCCACGAGATCTGTCTCGTTGAATTTGGATTCCTAATACAAATGAGGCGTCCCCAAGATTTTTCATCTCAAAATGCTTTGAAAGAAATTTCTTGGTCTCATATAAGACCCCTAAATCATTGGTAGCAAGTAATATATCATCAACATACAAGACCAGAAAGATGTATTTACTCCCACTGAACTTGTGATATACACAATCATCTACTATATTTGCCTCAAAACCAAATGAGACAACGATTTGATGAAACTTGTGGTACCACTGACGGGAGGCTTGCTTAAGTCCATAGATAGATTTATTTAGTTTGCAAACCATTTCCTTTGAGTCTTTCGATACGAAGTTTTCTGGTTGCACCATATATATATAGTTTCATCAATGTCACCACTGAGAAATGATGTCTTAACATCCATCTGATGTAACTCAAGATTGTAATGTGCGACTAGTGCCATGATCAACCTAAAAGAATCTTTTGATGAAACCGGAGAGAATGTCTTTTTAAAATCAATTCCTTCCTTTTGAGTATAGCCCTTAGCTACAAGACGTGCCTTATGTCTTTCCACATTACCTTTTGAATCCCTTTTGGTCTTAAAAATCCATTTGCAAGCAATAGGTTTTGTACCTTCAGGTAATGAAACAAGTTCCCAAACTTTATTGTCTTGCATGGACTTATACTCCTCGTTCATGGCATCAATCCACTTTTGAGAATTTGAACTTTGCATGGCCTGAGAGAAGTTGATTGGATCATTTTCAATCATTCCATCTGGTTCTTCATTTTCTTGGAGATATACATGGAAATCCGAAGGGATTGCACTTCTCCTTTCTCTAGTGGATCTCCTAAGTCGAGGTTGTTGAGGTTGTTCATTATGAACAGGAGAGTGAATAACATTGTCTTGTTGAGGTTCCTGAATTACTTCTTCTCCGACAGGCACATTAATTTGTGTATCGTCAAAAGTAACAGTAGGAATCGAGATTGATTCCTCCTCAAAGACAATGTCTCTAACCTTATTTCTCCTCCCAAACTCAACATCCTCAAAAAACGTTGCAGTTCCTGTTTCAAAAATTGATTTTGTTGCAGGATCATAAAACTTATAACCCCTGGATCGTTCAGAACAGCCAATGAAGTAGCTGCTAACGGTTTTGGAGTCCAATTTCTTTTCATTCGGCCTATAAGGCCTTGCCTCAGCTGGACATCTCCAAATGCGAAGATGAGTTAAACAAAGCTTTTTCCCTGTCCAAAGCTCATAAGGTGTTTTAACAGTTGCTTTAGTTGGTACTCTATTAAGAATATAAGCTGCAGTCTTAAGTGCTTCACCCCTGAGTGACTCTAGTAAAGTAGAATGACTTATCATACTCCTTACCATATCCTTAAGAGTTATGTTGCGTCTTTCAGATACATCATTCATGCTAGGCGAACCTGGCATTGTGTATTGTGGGACGATTCCACATTCCTCTAGGAATTTAGCAAAAGGTCCTGGACGTTGTTCACCTGATCCGTCATATCTACAATAGTACTCACCACCACGGTCAGATCTAACACATTTAATCTTTTTATTAAGTTGATTCTCAACTTCAAGTTTAAAAGATTTAAACACTTCCAGTGACTGAGATTTTTCATGAATAAGATATAGATACCCATAACGTGAGTAATCGTCTATAAATGATATACAATATTGTTGACCTCCAAGAACCGAAGGGAATGGTCCACAAATATCTGTATGTATCAATTCTAAGACATCTAAAGACCTGGTGGCATCTAATCTTTTGGTTTTTGTCTGTTTTCCTTTGATGCATTCAACACAAATTTTCAAATTT